GCTTTTAACACCATAAAACCAGGACTTCTGCCTGTTTGTCTACCGTACCTAGAACTGTGACCTGACTCCGTTCTGGATTCTCCCTCAACACCTCACCGGATATCTGTCCTCCTGGCTCTCACTACCGAACATGGCTTTAGCTTTGCCATTTTAATCATACTGCCTTCCTTCGTCTGCTCGGTTCGGATCTCCTGCCTCATCTCCGTCCACCGATACATCAGCGCCTGGGACTCTCTGGGTGGTGCCTGCCGCGTTGCGTTGGCAGCTGGCCAGCTTAAATCAATCTCAGCCTCTTGCCATGGACTAAACTATAAGACCAGGTTAGTGACTCACATGGTCGTTATCATCCACTTCCAGAAAGACGTGGTCACTAACCTTTGGTCTCCTCCTGCAGAGGTTCCTGCCTTAGATGCTGACGTCACTCACTCCGGATCAGTTTTCAATAAACGTTTTGAAAAATCTAACTGTCCGCTTTGAATATTGGATCCTTCCGTTCTGAGCTTGACAAAATGTCTCTTTAAGGTAAATGACATCACAGTTGGACAATGTCTATAAACCCTATATGAAGCTCTTGCAGAGCTAGAGTGATAGACATTTTTAATGCGCAAAGTATCACTTCCACAGATTCTTCCTTCCGGCTGCTGTTGGACTTCAATACCATCACGGCTCCTTACAGGCCCAGTATGTGTTTGCACACAGGCTGCTGGTTGAACTGGTTTTTGATCTTATCAGGAAATCATTTGCATTCTTCTAATCCCTGTAATGTGTCTTACAGACGTTCATGGATGTAAATTTACTGTAGGGCTGTTTATTTTCCTGATCTGGAAGTGTTTTGTGTTTTTCATGAATATGGCACAGTTTTGTGATTCTGGATGTTAACATCCTTCCTTTTTAACAGGAATTTGCCTTTATTGATAGGAATTTTAGTTTTTTTTTCTTCCTCTCTAACATGTGCTTCTGTTATCTGCTACTGTAAAGTTGAACTTCAATTTTGTTTATTTTTATTTTGTCTTCTGTCCATTTTTATTTTCCATGTCCCCATTCTAGAAGAAAACAGGCAATATCCACAAATAACAGAGTACCGGCTAAATATCATTTAGCACATTATATAATTTTGGTGTATTTTTGCTTTATTTTATACAGCTAGATAGATGTATACATAGTATACAGTACAGGTGACAAGCAATAAAAACAACATCATATGTACATAAGGGAAAAAAGTAACTGCCATCGTTCAAAGATGATCTACCAGGTCCTTCTAGAGCAAATGACATAATGATTGGAATTCATTGCAAAAGTACAAACATAGAGAACACCAGGTTCTAATATTGTAAAATTAAACACATTAAGATTTTGTTTTTGCGAGCTTCAACTCAAAGAATATATCTAATTGTATAATAGAAAGTAAAAAATAAATTTCACATTTAAATGCTTTGTCAAAAATCTAAATTCACCTCTTTCTTGTTCACTACAACAACTTCAACATAATCTGAGCAAAAAGCAATGAGAAGATTTTGTCATTGTGAAATGGGCTCTAACAAAAAATGCTTATGCAGAAAACACAGAGACAATATGTCCAATACCTTTGATAAAGAGTCATTCTGAGGCTAAATGAGGTCAGAGGCCACACCCAGGACAGTTTACAGTGCAATCAGAAATGGCTAATATTCGTCATTGTCATGTTACACCCAACCTATTGTGACCTGGTTTCACTTTTAATCAGGAAAGCCTTACATGCCACACTGTAAACACAGCTTTTCTCAAAGCGACAGTATTAAGCAAAGCTCTCTGGCTGCTCTATCCGTTTCCAGGTCTCCCCAAAGTCAGTCCTGGCAGGCCGCTGTCCTGCAGGTTTTAGAGGTTTCTCGGCTTCAGCACAGCTGAATCTAATGATTGCAGTTTAGCAAAAGCCTGTTAATCAATCATTAATGTAAATCAGCTGTGCTGGAGCAGGGAAACCTCTAAAACCTGCAGGACAGCGGCCGTCCAAGACAGACTTTGGGGAAGCCTGGTTTAAGCTGGAGAGAGCAACACATACTTTAAGACCTTTTCAAAGGGGCTTCATCAGATTTTAGATTTAGTCAAACTCTGAATCTCACCCTTGTAAGCTGATTATAAGATTATTATTGATGCACCTATTTTTCCAAAAGCTGCCAGCAGGTGTATTAAGATCCCCCAAAGGGAAACAAATGTATTATTTCTCTGAAAGTAGATTTTTATTACCAGTCTGGAAAGATCACTAATAAATATTGTTGTATTTTTTCATACACATTGAGGATTTGCCAAGAATCTCTTAGAAAAATCTCCAATCGTGTCCCCACCAGAAATGAATCAGCACCATGTGATGGCAGTAAGTTTGGTTGGAAAATTTAGATTTCTCTTATTTCATATATTGATTTTTTTCCCTCAGTCAGTTTCACCTGCAAGGCCACACAATTCCCCTGCTTGAGGGCTGTTTGGAGAAAAGACATACCTTATTCCCATAACAAACCAGATTCTTTCTCAATGTTTATTCATAACATGTTACTGTTTAACCAAAGTGTCTGTAATTTGTTTGACTCTGAATACTTTCCATTATTGTAAGTATGGGGGAACGAACGCGGCCCAGATCAGAACAGGGCTGATTACCGTGCAATAAGGGCCGCATGATGAACTGTTCTCTCTTTGCAAAGATAAAAATAAAGTGCAGACTGATTGAAATCCATCAATCCCCATTTATTTAACTGGGGTGAATAGTTGATTAGTTCCCAAGACAGTAAGGCACCCTTTTTCAGTTCATTGTACCAATTCTGGTTTTTTCTTTTTCTTTCAAAGTTATAAATAGGACCCTCTGACTGACTGTGAGGAACTGTTAAAGCCCTCCTGGAAGCACCGTGCTTGACCATACTTCGCCTGCCCAGTAAACAACATGCCCACTTTCTCATACCAGTGAGTGCAAAAGCTGCACAATTACACTATATGTTCCCATTTTTCGGCTGTAAGAGGTCTGGATTTGATCAGCCTTTCTAAAAAAGGGCCAGATTGCTAAAAGTGGTCCAATACCGTTGCTACAGCAGCTCTAGGGCGACATGGGGAGAGGAGAGAATCATGGGGAGAGGTGGCGTCACTGAAGGCAAATCTCTTTCTTCCAGTTGGAAAAACATCTAATGTTTCATAACAAATTTATACTGCTTAGTTCCAAATGGCCTATTTTATCATTTATATGCCTATTGTTGACTTGGGAAGACCTAAAAAAGCATAATGTCTAACCTTTCAATGTTTCAGGCCATTAAGTAAGATTTTATAAGACAATGGTAATCTGAGTAAGCGCAACATCAGGTTTTCAAAGGATGATCTTATAAAGGAAAGAAGAAAACCTAACAAATCAGCTCCAGGCATAAATATAACTGCACCACACCATGAAAACTGAATTATCGTAACTGTTATCAGCTACAGTTTTGGTTCATAACAGAAAAAAAAAAAGAGCTTTGCTCAAGTACTTTTTAACCCCTTAAGCCCTGAGAGTCTTAGGAGCAAATTCAGCCTGAAATTGCACATGTAAATAAAATAAAAGTATAGCTCCCAAACTATAAATTCGAAATACGATAGTTTGTATTTGTATGACACAAAGGCATTGAGGAATATTTTTCAGGTTGCACCATTTTTTCATGTCACCATGTCTGATTTATAGGCGATTAAACAAAGCAAAAAATGAAAAATATTTAGCTTCAACCAATTTTTTTCCAAAAGAAACTGCAAAACACCATGAAAGCCAATTTGAAACTCTGAAACTCTGACTTTATAGATCCACATCTCCACTAACCTGACTCCGCCAGATGGATTTGCTCCACATATCCATCTGCAAACCTTCCGTTGCAGTAATTTTGGGAAGGGGCGAAAATACTGGTTAGCTGATTGGCCTATGTTGGTGATAGACGGGCCAAATAAACCAATCAGATCAACGAAGCATATGACGTACTAACAGAGCGACGACCAAAACACAACCACAAGCCAGGCTACTCTTGCCGAAACCAGTCGGGAGAAGAGCAAAAACATCTTTTCCTCTGAGAGAAGCCTCCAGAGCAGTGTTTTGCTCTTCTTTCAGTGAAGAAATACTCTGTAATTCCCATAAAACTTGCTCGATAGCCACGCTAACGCTAGTTTCATCGGCTGAAGCCGCCATGTTATTTAGACTGAACTGTCGCGCTTCTCGTTGCGTCACACCTCAACCCGCCTCAAAGCCAACGCTGATTGGACGTTCGTTTGGTGAACGGCTCCAAATTTTCTTTAACGGAGAGTCTCCAGACTGATCTGCGAGTGAAACCTTGAAAGCTCGCGAGATCAGGATGGTCTCACGAGGCTACATCTTCACTATAACTCAAGCAAATTTAGACTGAATAAGTTGAAGCATGTTTGTTCCACAAAGGTTTTAGTGGGCAGGGTGCTTGGAGGAAATATGATTTTGAAAGCTGTGTGGATGAAACACCGTGTGACTGTGTTTTGGCAATACCTATAAATAGATAAAGAGGAGCAGGTGTCTGTTGGGCCTGGTACCGGGCCCACTGGGGTTGAGGGGTGAAAGTTTTTTTGTAAAATAATCTTTGGGTCATTTATTGGGTTTCTTTTTACTCTAAACTAACCAATCACAGGTCATACTTCTAAATCAGAAAGATATTTTTCAGGAAGGTCTCTCTCTTTCTTATCAAGGCTGGTCATTGAAGGCAGATTATTGGTTAAAAAAGTGTATTTTGATATGTAAACTATTATATGAATCTGTTTTCCTGTGATTCAAACCCTATTTGAACTCACTAGGAAAAACACAGCTTTATTTCCCAAGATGGCTTAGTGTGAAATTGGACCAGAACTTATTACCATCACTAAACAGGATTGAATTAAACAGCTGCCAGCTGTGCAACAACAAAATATCTTAAAACAACAAGAAAAAAAAAAGACATGTTTCCCAGGCAGGCGGGACAAAAGCAGCTGATGTCTGACCTGATGTTTTTCTGTTACTGTCAACTTTAACTTGGAAAAATTGACGTTATAAAAATTTGCCAATACTCACTGCTACGCAGGGCATTGGCTCTTCCATTTATATTGAGGCCTACAGATAATAAAGCTCATCCTGAAGTCAGGGTTCTCCCTCATGTCTCACCAAACGCTCTAGTCTGGCGTAAAACTCAGTGGTTTGGGAACGTCTAATTACTGATGCAGACATATTTGAACAGCACTCCCTTTGACAGCTGGGCAAAGTAACAACAATATACATACCACGTCTTAAAAGAACACCCATACATCCTGGTATGTCCAGATGGAGGTAGTCTAACATAAATGGAGACCTTTGACTGATGGGCTCGACGTTTCTTGCCTTTAGTAGATAACTTGTTTTAAGACAAGGGTGAATCAAAAACCCATCACATTTGATTTGATTCAGGAGTTTTTGCAACTGACATTGCAGTGGAATCATATTGATATTTTGAGACATATTCACCTGATCTCAGTAAATCCTTTGGATCTGTGTTGCACTAGCATGGCATCAAGTTACAAAGGTCCAGTTCCTGAGGCTTCCTCTTGCCAGAGCAGTGGTTTCTGGGCAGATTTAGGCCGTTCTCCGTTATGCAGCGCACTGGGCGTCTTTTAAAGCCTCTGCCACAGGACTTTGAGCACGGAGACCAGGTCCCTACATCCCACATGGGACATGGATCACCACACGCTCTTATTGCTTCAGGCCTTTTAGCACTGTCACAATCTGTTGCAAGACGTCCTTCTGTGCTCTGGCACTGTACCAGCCTCTTCTGGAGACCGTTCCCACAGGTCACTGTGCATGAATCCCATGATGATGTTACCCAGTGGCTAATGGGTCTCTTACCCATCACCTCGTTCTTGTTTTTGGTGTTTTTCTCATCTGTCAGGACACTGTTTTGAGATTTGTGGCTTTTCTCCTCTTTCCGTAGAACCTTGTCGTCCTTACGCTCCTTTGAGATGTAGAAAGAGTAGCGGATTCTCGGCGGAGTCATCTTCCCCACAGAGAGCACCTCCACCGTTAGCGGCTCCTGCAGAGGTCTGGTAGCCTGGAGAATCTCAACAGATGTGGATGTGCCACTGTAGCGCAGCAGGCTGCCTTTAAGTAGCATGTCCCTCTCTGCGGCCGACACCACGTAGTTTCCATTCAGAAGGTAATTTCCATGCCTATCCTTCACAGCGAGGTAGTTTTCATCACTGACCATTCCTCTGTACCCGCGTTGGCGGATGTCAATATTGGAGGCTCCGACGGGCAGCGTCACCACAAAGTTGTAGCCGTTACTGAAAATCAAAAAAAGAACATTCAGTGGTAAAACACAAAGATTAAATACTTTGAGTAAAGAGCATGTTATCTATATGAGTAGAGGTGTCAAAAGTATTCATGTTTATCACTCGAGAAGTATAAATCC